TCACTGTGTCATGCAAATCTGATTTTGTGTATTCGTTTGTAAACTCCTGTTTGAATGGGTGGAGGCAGGATGCTATCTTGATGGTGGGTGCATGCGAGAAGAAAAATCTCCATTCGGGAAGGAGATAAACGCATTAAGCCTAGTCCGATCAAGGAAAAGCAGTGACCTTCGAAAAATGTACACGCCTTGATCCGAATTGTGTCAGTTCGTTTCTCATACACACACATACGCTCACGATCGACTGAGTAACAAGTCCGTAAGGCGATTGTGAAAAGTTCAGCAGCCTCGGTGGGATTCGAACGCACGTATGGACGCCGCCTAAGCTTTGTACGGGCACGCTCCCCACCAGCTGAGCTACGAGGCCACATCGCCAGAGTACTGATCGTTTCACACACGTTCGCCGATTCAACCAACGCATTGGGGTAAACTGGAGGTCGAGAGGGATCGGGAGCGAACTGAGAGAGAGACCGAAGAGCAGTGTACGAACCGTGAGTGTATTGTGTTCACACATACACACACACAGCCCCATATTGAGAGGTTTCCGATTCGCCCACTTCGCTAGATATCATTAGGTAGAGTGTGCATCAGTATGGTGTTGTATGGGTGTTTGAAACAGGAGTGGATGAGCTGAGGTGAAATAACTAAAGATAAGATAAAACAAAACAAACTTAGGAACCCATACACGAGAGATGATGGCGGGATTGGATAGAAAGACAAAAAAATAAAATAAAAATTCCTATACAATTCATTCAGATGACAACGAACGATGCGACGACAACGATAAGAAGAACAGTGAGAGAAATCAGGTATTTTGAATGGTCCAACTGGGGAAGCCATTGATGTTGAAACAGCTGGAAGAGTTTGGCGTGAGTTGCATCGAATGGCTCGACCGGTTCATGGCCCAGTCACGCGTGGAACGTGGAAACCGTGACGAATAAGAACACACACACACACATGTGGCATAATCACTGACTACTTTTGAGTCAATAGTAGTCGACGGTGCCGTGTGAGCGAGAGAGAGAGAGAGAGAAGGGATGCATGGCTGAATGGATCCGATGTCATGAAGACGTGTGTCTGTGAGAGCGTGGATGGGGGGACGGGCAAGGGATAATGTACAGTGATACATCTACGCAACGCGTATGCGAGTCACGTAGCGGAACACAATGCAAGACCATTCGGGTACGAGGTTAGAACAGTGTTAGATACACTCGGATGCATAACTGTTCTCCTTCTTTCTCTTTATCCAAATCGAAGAGACCATTCACAAGGTACAGAAGGCATGACGAACGAATACCATTCCATGTCGTGGCGGATTTTTGTTCTTCTTTGTCAAAACCAAAAGAATTCAATGGACAGAGGTAATAATACAAAAAAACAAGAGAGAGAGACAGAGGCAAAGCAGGTCAGAAAAATAGGTTGAATAGATGTATTTTATCATCATGGGACCCACAAGAGACGATTGGGTAGGACCTTGTGGAATAGAGTAGTGCACCAATCCGAAATAAAGGTGACTTCGATTGTGTTTTGACGGACAGACGTGGGGAGGTAGGGACGGACGGACGGAAAGGAAGGGGATATGATGCTTGGGTATCAGGCTCGATTTGCTGCTCAACAAAAAGACCGGAAGATAGAAAAAAACATTTGTGTACAGTCAGATCGGTCTGAGAAATATAGGTTGATCACACACACACACACAGACGAACATTTCAAACTCACGAGCGTAAGTCACACGACTCGGAGATAGACCAACCGACTTCGACGTTCGTTTATGCCGGTCTGGTCAATTGGCACGTCATTTCAGGTGTGTGTTACAAACTGGTCTGTCGAGTCATGTGAAATGTGATCCACTCGGGATGAGCGGTAGTCACGAGGAACGACAGCTGATGAGAACATCAGTGGTGCATGGGCGGAGGAGAGAAGTTTCCAGGAGAGGAATCGATTGGTATATGGAGCGGGCAGGGTGTCATGGAGATAGGATACAGTCTCTCTCTGACTGTGATATCGCAGCTGATGACGGATCACATAGGGCCCCGGAAATGGTTGGCTAACTGCTCGCGATTGCAACTGGTTGACCATTAACAGTTTTCGTTTTCAAGACACCATTTTCCTCGACCTCGATAGTTTCCACACCGTCTTGAATAGTTCGACGGGTGGTCACACATTTGCCGTCCAAAAATCGACTGGTGGTTGAACGAAAAGTGCCCCGCATGGCACCACCTGTTTGACCCGATCGATTGGACGAACCGAAACTGATAAACGTGGTGGCCGAATGACCCGCGAAACTGTTTACACGTTGTGGAGTGACTTTGTATGTGAACGAGTGATCAAAGGTTCGTCCAAACGGGCTTGATTTCCCGGGCAATTCAGATCGGGGACGAGAGAACGATTGTCCGTTCTGTTCAACAGTGATACGTTTCTCTCGGGATCGAGTCGGTTGTAAGTCTCCACTCATGGACATGAATCGTCGTGGATCGTTGAACGCGTTCATCATGCTCATGTGTTTGGCGATAAATTCGCGAAACACCACCTCCGGATCACGAAACTGGAATCCGAAGTCTCGGAACGGGAAGAAAAAGTCCGGATCATCAAACAGACTACCGTGGAACGCGCCGGCTCCCATGGTGGTGCGTCTTCTTCGTGCGTTCGAATTCTTCGAGGATGCACGACGGGTAGGAATTCGGGTACCGTTGATGCCATCTTTACCGTACCTATCGTATAGGGCACGTTTATCGGGGTCCGAAAGTACCTCATACGCCGCACTGATCTCTTTGAAACGTTTCTCGGCCTCGTCTGCATTGCTCGGATTCTTATCCGGATGCCATTTCAAAGCCAGTTTACGATAGGCCCGACGAATATCTTCCACGGTAGCATCACGTTCCAAACCCAAGACTTTATAGTAACAAGTATGTGTACTCATTTCGGTTGGACGAAAACCGGGCTGGTTAGAGAATTGCTCGAACAGGAAACACGTTTTGAACGGGGGAGGAGGAAGTTGATAAACCGTTCTATGGGTTAGTTCCCGCGTAACGCATCGGTCTGGTTACCGAAGCTGAAATGCAAACGAGGAAAATCGAACTAACGCGACCGTTTACAAAAATAATACAAAACTAACATAGGCACACACGGTAAAAAAAAACAATATGATCTACGTTTCGTCCATTGGCTGGAATAAAATCGGAGACCGTTCTCTACGCCGAACAGAGTTGCTCGGGAGAGCAAAATTACTTCACAAATCATAGGTGAAGGGGAACATTACGTGCGTTTCTTATGAGTTTGCGTGTTCTCAAACCGGACAGACAACATTGCGACATTTTGACCTGACAGATTGGACGTTTCCAAATTTATGCGAAGAAAGAAAGAACCAGAATCCCATATGACCGATTACTGGGAACAATTGTAATCTGACCAATGGGGAAGACCAAGTGACTTTAATCGGTTGTACCAAGCTACCATTTCAACAAGGGCGGGGGGGGAGGAGGAGAGGGCAGGAAACGAAGATATAGCAGTTGCTAATCAATGCAGGGTTGACGCTGCCCACCTTAGAGATTAAACCATTTTTTTATTTTTTATTACACACCTTAGTGTAATGAAAAACAGAAGGGATAAACCCCATAGTCACGAGGACTTGCTGTTCAGTGGTGGAAACCGGCAACCTAATCCTTGCAGGACTTGGATTGGTGAACCACATAAGGCCCCAATAGGTTAAGCGTGGTATTGAACCGAACGATACCAGAGCTGTCTACCACCAAAGTTGGGTGGTGGTGGAGGGGCTCGAACCGTGTATCACAGGGTCCAAAGCACGCCGGCAACAGCGACTAAACCACTGTGCCCACACCGACCATATACCGAGGCTGTACGACAAGACTGTTCAATCACGGTTTATGGGATGGTTTATCATATATTGTTCATCCAGATACGACATGTGTGAGGAAAACAGCAATCAATAACTCCCATGGAGGCTGCAGCACAGTGTATTTCCCCAAGCGCATTTTTAGCGTGTAAATTCGCGGGATCATTGGATCACAATGTTCGAACCAATAGAAAAATGCAGCCGTCTATTTACAAACAACGGAATTTGCAAAGATTTTATCGCACAGTCAATTCACAATATCCCACATTAGGCAAATCATAATATCCAGTCTTTCATTTTGTTGATCCTGGTGATTATATAGACACCGCTTTCATAGTTCTCTATTCCACCTTTCACCCAAATGTAACTTATCTTATGTGTTACGGATTTTAACAGTAAGGCAAACGCAATTGGTATCAATAGACTCATGTTCAGGGGGACTCTGTGTCGAACACATTTGGTCCAGTCACCACAATTTCCATGACTAAGGCTTATTGAATCAGGGAAGCTATAAGCTGGAAGACTGATCACATGACAGAGGAAAGTGGTCAGTGATGAAAGACCGACTGAATTGAGTTCCAGTGCGTTTCATATAATCTGCAAACGGATCGATAGTGAACTACTTAACTACCGGATAATTGTATTCGGAACGGTTTTAATGAATTATCCCGGAATTAGCTCATCTTGTAAGATCCCACACAGTAACTATCATAGGGAAACGATTCAAAATTCTAGTAGTGGTAGATTAATGGTACGACAGAACAATCTGTTCTGGTTATCGGTGTCGTTGTTCAAGTCAGATACCATGGGAACGGGAAGTATTTCACACAAAAAACTCACGAATAATGAGATTGAAAAACCGGTTACCTTGGTTATATGAAAAACTAAACCACTTTGGAAATAAGCCCGAAATATTTTATTGGTAATCATATTTAATCACCAATTGAAAACGTTTTTCAATAGTTATTTTTCCCTACTCGTTTTATCACTAGCCAGCATAGGACTAATCAGACGTTCTGCTGCAGTTATTTTCTAATTGACCATTTTAAATAAACGGTAAGGTTTGTCAGTAAAAAAATTCCGATTGATGTCCATGGGAGAAAATTTCCGATAGTAACCAACTTCATCATGACGACGAATGATGCAGCCTGAACAAAGTTGGGAAAATTAGATTTTCCATTTACAATACAATCCTGAAAATACCATATGCCCTAATTTTTAAACCACTGCGTTCCTCGGCGGATAACTCGCATGAACAAAAAGAGACGTTAGAAAATTTGAGATGGGAACAGGACAATAGTCCACTGGCATATCAGTATCCCTAGTCATACGTTCAACCGACACCGTTGACAACACTTGATACGTAGTGGCCTGGTGGTCACGTCACCAAATTGTCACCTGGGTGGACGTGTGTTCTAACCCCATCAACACCGCCTGACTTTCCCTATGGCGACCTTTTGATTAGTCGCTTCCTCTTCCTGAAAATTGTTTCGTTGTGTATTCAATAAAAGGAAGTGAAATTAAAGAAAAAAAAGATACATCATGAACCCAAATAGTTCATTCAAAAAGCGATTACAATTTCATGAAAGCATTAGAATTCATCAGACTGATAAGGCCCAAAGCCATCATCTACCACGTAGTGGTTCACATTGCTGTTCTCTAATACATATATATATATATATATATATATATATATATATATATATATATAAGTTCAGTTCAGTTTGTACAACCATTAGCCATGCACTGTCATGCTCCGGTTTTGGTTGCTGTGTTTTGACTGCCCATTTGGATAAACATTAGCAGAAAAACAGGACAGGTTGAAAGTAGGATCATAGAGCAAATTTACAATTTCATTGCACTAATGTTACAAAGAAATTGACAAGATGCACGAAAGCCACTGTTTACGACAACCAGACATTTCACTCAGTGTCTCTAACCATCGGGAACGACCATCCCGAGGTCCTCAGCCAGGGGGACTAAAGGGACCTTATGTGACCCAGATTGGTGGTTAGAGTTTTCATACCCTCATGCCAGGTCTTAGCTTGACCACCCTTGGCTTTCTTCCACGCAATACCTGCCTCGGCAAACATCGCTCGCCGTGACAATCTATCTGGTGACATGCGTAACACACCCCAAAGAACGTAATCTATGCAGGTCGATTACTCGCTCCAGTGGAAGAACGCATTTACCTAAAAATTTGCGCATGACCTCAGCATTGCTCGTCCGGCTGCCTCATCAGATTCGTACAATGCTTCGTAGACAGCGGTGTTCAAACAACGACAGTCTATCTTTGTCCTGTTTTCTTAATGGCCGAGTTTCTGCGTCGTACGGCAGAACTGGCCGAACCGCCGCAGCATACACTCGACCCTTAACAGACAGCCAGATATCGTGACGGCGCCACAGATGTCTCAAGTTGATAAACGCCAATCGAGTCTTCTGTATGCGAGCTGACACTTCATTCGTGATGCGTCCACCGGGTGAGATCTATATCCGATGGTTTACCGGCAAATTAGATGTTAGCTAGAGCCTGTCAACCTGTGTTGTTTGAATTGGCCTGCTTGAAAAAAAAGTGCACATTGCATTCGTATTGTATTCCCTTCACACTGCTGGCTAGCTTGACCGTGCGCAGGGTTTTGCAAATTTTCATGGTGTGCGTGTGTTTCTTTCTGGTTATGCTCAAGTTCGAATTTAGTAAGTGCATGAGGTACACATCCAAGTACACAGATATTCCCGTGAGATACTTGCCCGCACACGAATAGATATAACGATCGCATTTTGAAATCGCAAGTGTTTTTTTGCTACCTTTACCGGGACTGTGCTTCAAGTAACCGTGATCTATTATGTATCTACCTACCATTGTGAGCCCCAGTGTCCTCATCATCAAAGCACGTACACACACACACCTGAGTGGCTGTGAAAATGTGAAGCTGCATCTTCCCATTCATCTAGGCACAGGACTTGAGCAGCTAAAAGAGGAATAGAGCATGAGATTCGTCGTCGTCGTCATCGTCCTCCTCCTTCCCCTACTCAACGGTTTTCGAGGTTATTGTGGAATAGTTTTCAAATTGTTAAATTCCACCTGAATTGCACTGCGCAAACGTACACAGATTGCGAAATAGTGATAGAGTTTAAATCCATGAATAACAGCAGAGAAGTACTTGAATGCTACATACGCCACATAAGAAAGGAAAAACAGCCTATAGTTGAAGAGAGAGAGAAAACACAATTGCTTTGAACGAGGATTCTAAACACAGAGAATGGAGAGTTTTCTATGGTACTTGTTCTTCTCGAGTACGTGAGGCATTAAGTCAAGTGAGGTCGGCACAGTACCCACCCAACTCCGGGCAACCGCTTCACACAACTTAATAAAAACACTCAAAGATGAACTATTTGAATGAGGCATGCACTACGATTGACAAAAGGTTGCAAATCGAATCTCACAGCTCCTCAAATGAACTGATTTCATTCTCACCTGTTAGCTGAACAACTGGCAATTTTGTTTGCGCATGTTTCATCGTCACTTCGCAAGCAATGAAGATGTAGCGCGATTGCTAGAGTGATCGAATTCATGCAATATAACGATGAAAATCATGCAAAGGAAAGTTGTTACAATATACCAGAACAGAAGCAATGTTGAACCGGATCCGGCAAAGATAATAGGCCGCTTCATATTGTGAGATTTCTTCGTATGATGAACAGTGGAAGTGGGTGAATTCGATAGTCATCGGAACCTACTGTTCGATCATGAGAACTAGCAAACTACAGGCTAGAAATTGGAATATAAAACTGGATAAGGCCTGCGTAGACCGGACGTTGAGCAGGAACACAGTGAAGCTGTTTACTGAAGGACGCATATCTGAGACGATAACCACTATTTTTGTCATGGTTTACATCGATTCATGTCATACACACATGTATATGGCAAGGAGAAGTGAACTTTTCAGACCACTGCACCGTTATTTGAACCTGCCAGTTAACCGGTTGTATGAACTTACGTAATCCACTAAGGACTACAATCCGGAATTGCACTGACAAATCGTAAGTTGAAAGTTCCTTGAGCTGTT